GTATCTCCTCGAGGGTCTCCCTCCGAGATCGACACTTAGCAAGTTCGGCAACCCAATGTGCTCAAGTGTCGGCAATATCCACTGCCTCTCTTTCCTCCATTTGAGCAGCCTCAGCATCGGTCCGATACACAGCAATAGACTTGTCCGCCATGACTTTCGATGACTCAATCTCCGCCTTGGCCTCAGCAAGCCTTGTTTCAAGCTCCTCGATCCTCTTGGCCTGAGCCGAACCTTTTTGCTTGACGCTTCGAAGCTGGACATTGGCCGATGATAATTTGGCCAAGATAGTTTCTTTTTTTTCAGCCAGGCGGTCGATAGTCTCCTTCCACCGATCATATTCGGCCTTGATTTGATCGACTTCTTCCCGAAGCAACCCGATCTTTTCAAACTTTGCTGCAGCTGAGATAACGAAGGGTTAGCTTCCACAGTTGAGTCAAACCAATACTCTAACAGGACAAGGCTCACCTTCTTATCTAGTTCAGCCTCTTCTTCATGAGCCTTAGCCAAATCAGCTTGGAGGTCCTTTATAACCTCGTCCTTTTGGCCGCAAAGAAGCCGCAGAGCATCTCTCTCCCCCGAGACCTTCTGAAGCTCGACCTCACACTAGCTAAGGTCGTCTCGAAACTTGCTAATGGCCTACACATAAGGGAAAAAACACAAGTCAGGTTTAGAAAAGAACGAAGAAACCAAGCACAGTAAAATCATTACCCGAGCAATGAAACATTGGGCCTCTTCTAGGAGAACAGAGGCATCACTAATATCGGAGGCATCATCGACTCCAGTAAAGCAATCCCGAAAAGGATCCCCTATACTAGAGCCTCCGCCCATATCGGGGGTCTTCAATTCTCGAGCTTCTTTTAACGCCTCCTCAGAAAAGGTCGGAGGAGAAGGCAAATGACCCACTATCATGGTCCCGAGCTAATCGCTCGGGACGCTCTGATCGAGACTCGGGTATCGAAACTGGGCCTGACCGGTATTGCCGTCATCAGCTCAGAAGGTCTGATGACCTCGATAGCTTTCGTAGATCGGACCACCAAAGCCAAAGCATCTTCTTCTTCTTCTATCAATCGTTGGACAGAGTCCTTCGAAAGAGCGATTTCCTTCCTCCTCACCCTTTAAGTTTTGGGCTTGAGGTTATCTGACCGAGAGACAGCTTTTCGCTTTTTATCTTTCCCCAGTTTTGGGACCGGGAACTTGGTTCCTTCCTCACCACTCGAAGACCTCAAAACGGAATCCTTGGTTACGCCTGCATGAAAGGAAGTCAGTAACGAATGGAGCATACAAAGCGTTTCGAAAAACATGAGAAGTGAACCTTACCGTGATTCTTGGCCTCCCACCTACCTTTCGCCAAATCACGCCAAACGCGTTCGGTATAAGAGGAAGTCGAGGCTAACTTCTGAACCCAATCCTCGAGGTCAGGTACCGCTTGTGGAATCCAAGGGACAGTAGTATATCGGAGGGAGATATCAAATAGAATCAGAGAAAGATACGAAAAGCAATGCCTTATGAAAATCACTTACGGTCAAAATTCCATTCCTCGAGGAACGACATCTTCTCTTCCGGGATAAGGTCACGGGTCCTCACCCAAATATAACGGCCCATCCAACCCCGATCATTGTCTTCGTCTATGCTCGACATTAAATCTTTCGATGTCCGAAGCTGGAGACTGATTAGTCCTCGAAAGATTTGAGGCCGATACAATCGTATGAGATGATTAAGGGTGAAATTCAGCCCCCAGCCTTGTTGGAGAAGAAGCGAAGTAAGATTACTATGCGCCATAGAGAATGATGAATTTGACCGAGGGTGACCTGATATCTTTTGCAAAAATCAATGATCACTGGGTCGACGGGACCCAACGTGAAGGGGTAAGTATAAACACTTAAAAACCCCTCTACATGAGTGATGATGCTCTCTTCGGAAGAGGGAATTTGCAACACAACCTCGGGACCCCAGTTGCAGTCTTTCCTCACAGCCTCGAAATGGCCCTCTGTTATCGAGCACATGTACATAGACACATGCTCACATCGACCCGGAACCGACGAAGGATTTTCAACCTTAAAATTGATCTTTAGAGTACACGGGCCAGGAACATACTCGTGGGGAGGCGGCTCCACCGGTGCCTTGTTGCCAGACGACCGTGAAGAGGAAGCTTTCTCCTTCTGAGGTATGGTTTTTGAAACTTTTACCATTGATATAAGAAAAAGAAAAGCAAAGGAAGATGAAAGGTTGATGGTGCCAAACGCTGGTGAAGGTGGCTCAACAAGCGACGAAATAAAGGCAGAAAGAGTAAGAAAATTTGGAACATTGAAGATGTAAAAGTGATAAATGATAAATAGAAGAGTTATTTATAGGTTTATACTGTGGCGGTTCAGTATCAGCGGTGGCCGACCACCGTCTGACATGCATTAAATACTTTGAAAGACTAAATCTACGGGACAGCTATCACGTACGTCATGATTGAGCCCAGTGAAAACGTCAGCTTATAACCCGATCGAGCCGTTGAAAATCATATCGCTCCTCACCACATTCTTCC